GGAAAGGTACAGGATTTCTTGGTGCCATAAATAAAACTGCAGTGGTCGAAAACCAAAGCAAAGCTGTGTAAGACAGTGGGCTGGAAAATCAACAACGGCTAGAAATGGAAAGTAAGATTAAAGGTAACACTTAGCCACAAGTCTATCCTTAGCAGCTTCAGTATAGTATGTATTTAAATAAACACACACATGCAGAGCTTACTTTGTAATATGCCTTGCTCTCACTCCTAACAGCAGATGATTGCTATTTACTGAAGGGTAGTGAACCACAGGAAATTGGCCCTTTTTAGCTCTCTTGCCCTGAAAAAGAACTGTGTGAAGACAACTCAATATAAATTCTCTTCCTTCCCTTCCCAACCCCAGCTCCCCACCCACAGCTGTGGCTTTTTTTTTTTCCTTGACTGTGAATCAGAGCATCTCCAGTTCAAATAACTCAGAATCATTCCTAGCTATGAAGTGTTTTTTGCTGGTGATGCTGAGTCTTTGTGTTTTGTACAAGAGCCAGGGAGTGCAATGCAGACCTGCCTGACCTGGGCTGACAGAAGTACAAGAACTTTGGTTGCAATGGGAACCTCCCTGCCCCTTGGTAGAAGAAAGTGAATGATGAAGCAATTTGTAGCCTCAGAATGTTTAGGCTATTGTGAACATCTTTGACTAGTTTCTGTTTGTGCAAGTGGTAGCTGCTTAATGAGATGGGTTATGTTATTACAGTGCTGTAAAGTGGAATTGCCAATAGGTATTGGCATTTGCCATAACTAAGTTTTATGTGAAAGGAAACACAAATCTTGCGTCTGGATATCCTGTGTATGCAGAAACATGGACAGTTGAGGTGCTGAGATCAGTGGCACAGGCCAAGATCTTTTTTATCCCAAAGAAAATGTCTTTGGAAATAATTTAAGAAAGTAAAAGATGTGACTGAAGAAGAACTGCTTTGCTAGAAAAGCCATTCAAACATGTACTTGATATTTGGCTTAGGAGATGTGATTCAAACTTCATATTCAAGGTGGCTTAAACTATGCTGGTTCACTTTGCTTGTCCTGCTGATTTTTGGCTATGATATTCTGATTTGCAATTGTGGCAGGCTAGTGTTATAACTCAGGAGCAGCAATAAATTGTTAGATTGTGGTTGATGTTAATAGCTATTTTGTGCTTTTTCATAAATTTGAAGATCAGTTTAGATTGTGGGTTTTTTAACCTCTGTAGCCAGATTACTGTTCCATGTCTAGCACTGTAACATTTAGCTGGGAACCCAACAAATGAACTCTTATTGTAAGGGTGTTTTTTCAATATTATTGGAGTGATGTATATTTCCTAGTCTGATTGAAACCATTTATTCCTAGAAATTTTTATTTGAAGATCAATGTTTGGTGTCCTAAAATGGAAGGATTACTTCAGGGAATTAGAACTTTTCAATTGAAACAAAAGAACTGAGTTTAAAAAGAAAAAGAAAGAAAAAGAAAAAAAACCTGCAAGAAGTGTCTTTCCCAGTGTTAAGTCAGCTGCTTTAGTCAAAATGTTGGTAACCCTGATCTCCCTAACTAGGTCAAAGTTTTTCATTTGTGCTACTGCACTTAAGAAAACTTTGCTAGACCAAAATTCTCAGTGGATTTGTATGAATCTATGATTCCCTAGAAGGGGGTTGAGAGTAAGGGCTTGTAAAGGCAAAGTAGGGAACTAAACAGTCGGTCTGCGGGTATCTCATAAGGCTGAACATTAACTGATCTATGCTGGTCTTTCTTTTCTTATCCCTTGAAAGACCTAACATGTTTTGCTTACATTCTGGTGTCTAAACAGAAGATATCCAAAATACTGCAGATTTTCCAGGTAGAAAGACAGACCTCCCAGACAGCTATAGTCCAGTTGAATTTTTTTGGAGGGACTGAATTCTCTGTGTGTCGTTGACTGGCATTTCCCTTAGTGTAAATGAGAGCCTGAAATCCATGTTGTGCATCAAGAGATGGAGTGCTGTTCAGAGAGTGCCTCTGTGCTGGTGAGAGTGTAGGATGGCTCTGAAGCAGGTCTGATCAGCTTGTGGGGGTCCCTGGGGAGCAGAGACTCTGAGCTGCAGCACTCTCCAAAGCACTGCACTGTAGAGCTCAGTGTGCATTGCCCAACACAGTCAGATATGCCCACTATAGGAAGGGGTTGTCAGAGCCTGCAACTGTGGCTAGGCTACTCACAATACCTGATATTGCTATTTTAAAGGTAGCTTGATGTGTCTGCATTGATTTCAATCACAGTAGTGACCTTCTTTCCATGAATAAGCAACCTGTAGACAGACTAATTGATTACACATATTTTTGATCAGTATTCTTCGCTTCTTGCCTTTTCTTGCTATTTACCTTTAAGAATTTAAATACCCAAGGACATGTAAAATCCATATGCATTTGTGAGCTAAATAAGAATGGAATTTCTGAACCTTGTATGTGGATTTTATACTAGCTAATGCAGAAATGAAGTAGATGTGAGCAGTGCACAAGGTTTGAGCTTCTAAATCTTTCTGAGAACTTGAGGTTAGGGCTGAGAAAACTATAGCATATGGAATATTCATGGATCACATCCCCTATTTTAGTGTCCACAGGATTCAGCCATCTTATTAAGTCTCTCATGTTTTATCACTGGATTTTATGCTATTGGAACCAAGAATTGTCCTCATAAGAGAATTCTGAGAAAATTGGCAGCATCTACCCCACCTTGCCCTTTGTAATAGTGCAGGTAACAGCTTCATTCTGCCACACAATGAGATGGTTTGATGGGAAAACACCAGGTCTGATTTTAACAGGATGTGATGCAGGTGTATTTCTAAAACTGATTTTATTTGATTGGCTCTCATCTGTATCTCTCCTGAGATTTAGCTGGGGTTTAGCCATTGAATTTTATTAGTTTCAAATTTTAATGGCTGTGCAGCTCACTGGCAAGAACAGAAAATATTGTAATGCCTTTAACAGGAGGGTAGTTTTTAATCTTTAGTTTTCTGCAGGCTTCATTTATTGTTTCTTTTAAAATGCCATTCTTAAAACATGAACAAGTCTGATTATTCCATTAGGAATTGTGCACACTGAAGACATGTCAATGATTGGCATTATATTGTATGTAAAAGCTGAGAAATATTAGCAGTTTGGGGATTTGAAACTATAGCTATTGGGGAATCTGCCCAGAAGCGTTTTTAGGGAAAATCTTATCCTTAATTAAAAGGGAATGATCTCATTAAAGCTCTCCAGTGTCTAAGCAAATGAGTTGGGGGTTGTCTGTTTTGTTTTGGGGGTTTTTTTAAGGAGTAAAGGGATTGGGGGGAGAGAACAAGTGGCATTTGCTCATCATTAGGGTATTCTTTGACTAATAAACAGTTTGAGGTCTGCATTGTGGCCCCCAGAGTGCTCACATGAGCACAGGTAGGGAATATCTAAGAGGTGCAGCATGGCTGGTTCCTCAAGGTGCTAGGGAACTTCTGGAAAATAAGTGCCTTAAAATCCTACCTCAAGCAGTGAGCTCCTAATGCTGAGTGAAGTAACACCAGACCATTCTCAGCTACAGAACCTAGCAGCTCCACATAACTTTTTCATATTGGGGGGGAGACATTGGAGAGTGAACTCTGGCAAGCTGCTGGAAAGGGAAAGGGCTGGAGAGTGAGCAGGTTCCACCCACTTGCAGGATGCTGCTGCTTTTGGATGGCAGCAGCATCACCTCAGTACTCAGCATCACCCCAGCTGGTACTGGCAGAGAGGAGTAATATTGCATTGACCCCTGGTTCAGCTCCACACGAGAGCAGTTTGATTTTGCCACAGCTGGTGTTTTGCAGTGGCTCTCTGCTTTGGCACGGCTCTGGGACTTGTGTTGCCCTTTGTTTCCCCTTTTGTGTGAGCCTTGCTCCTTGGCTGTGCCACTGTGCACTGTGCTGCTTTTGCTTATGTGAAACCCAGAGCACTGGGTGGTAGTATGGGACAGAGAAGGGACTCATGAATTTTGCAAGGTATTTTAGCTCTATCTGAGCACACAACAGGAGGGACTTGGGATGTTTTCAGCAAAACCACTCTCTCCAGTGGTTGCAGTAACAATAAGATAATGCTGTGCAGGATTAGTTTGGGTCTCAAAAAACCAGATGAGGTCTGACAGAGTTTGGTAGCCCTGTTTCTGTACTGTGCTTAACTACCACGCATGTGTAAGTGCTCATGCTGTGCTGCACCTGAGCTGATAGATCTCACCGATGCTAAGCTGCCTCTGCATTTAGCCATGGTGTGTGTATCTGCAGCTGTGCCATGGCTGATTTACAGCTTGGATAAAACTGTTTGAGGCAGCTGGGAGTGGACTGCTGAGTTTCAGATGCACATTTCATGCTATTTCACTTCCATAACATAATGTGAGGGATGCAAGGAATGTAGAGAGATGGCAGATTAGAAAAGCTAGTTTGGCTTTCAAACACCAAGGATGTTGACACCTATAGTGTGATGTGAGTGTGTGTATAGTTCAGCTTTACAAATAATAGTTGGACATTTGGCCTTCTGTGTCATTTACAAGACTGAGGTTGTGTACTTTTGGCAGGGAATGGGGAAGTTCTCTGCTGCTTTCTTTCAACAGCAGCAGAGCTTTCAAATGTGAATGCCTGTGGTCATGCTCCTGGGATCCTGTAACACTGTCTGTTAGACAGACTCTGATTTCATAATATACCAGCATCAGAAGCTGAGCCACCTGAAACAATTCCTGACTCCCTGCCCTGTGTATTGGTTCCCTCAGGTTGCTGAGGGTAGCTGATTGTAAGGATGAGTAATAAGCAGCATTTATCACCTGGCTTTAAATCAGTTCTCTAAAAAAATAAACACAGAAAAAGTCCTTCTCTTGTGGGGGATTGAAAAAGGACCAATTATGTCTGTGCTACCACTTAAGAAAATACACATGGAACCTTGTCCTTAACCAAAAATATGTTATGATTAAAGCAAATGCTGAAACAGGCAGACAGTTACTACATTTTCCAATGTCTTGAAAAAAAGTATTTGTTTTTTCAGCATTGCTTGAGAAACCCATCAGCAAAAGACGAGACAGTGAAGCTGTACAGAAGGCCAAGATCCTTTATGCATCCTGCATGAATGAGAGTAAGTGGTTCAATTTGAAAGGGATATATCTGTGTTCCCTGTGTTTATAAAGTCAGGCTTTTTATCTCTCTGCTGACCTCTGTGAAGCTCTGTGAATTTGCATGGATTTCACTGATACAGGTTCAATTGGATGCAGAGCATCTTCTACACATTTCTGAAGATGGCTGTTGAGACTGAGGTGCGCTCTTTTAAAGAGACCTTTGCAAGTCAGGGAACTATGAAGAGATATTTCTGTGTGCAAAATGATGCCAAAACTGTGTGCTGGGTTTGTGAGGTTAGTGTCTGTAAATCAGAGGAGCCCTCTGATGAAATTCTCACAGTGATACTTTCAAGAGCCTCTTGCTCAGCACCTCCAACCTTTCTCTAAATCCATTTAATTAAAACACTTCCCCAGGGCTGGGTATAGACATCCCTGGACTCTTTAACTTGAGTTATCTACATGTCACGCAAGTTTGGATGGGAAGCCCTTTAGCCACATTTATGGAATGCTTTTCCTTATCTTGTAAATGCTGCTGTAAGGTGATGTACACTAGTTTGGGACACATCACTACCCTTATGTAGCTGCACAGGTGAAAAATGAGTGACCTTTGTCTTTCTGACTCTTTCAGGCTTTGTTTCGTGCCAGCAATTGAGACAGCCTTCCCTGCAGCTTTGGTGCTGAGATGCTGCCCCTCTAGATTTGATTATTTACAGTAACTCCCCCTCAGAAACAGTGATGTTTTGATGATAGCTCCTGAGTGAGGGACTTGTAAAAAATTTACTTAATTCCAATCTTTGCCTTTTTTGAAAGACACTGATTTGCCTCTCCTATTCTTGATACAGATCAACTGGGTTGGACTCCCGTGCTGCTGTGCTCAGAGGCAGAGCAGAGGCTTTGAGTTTCATCTATTGTGTTTTGTCTTGCCTAGAAATCGATCAACGCCGATAAATCTTTGTCTCGTGTGGCTGCTGCTGGATTTGATTTGTCTGGAATGTAATTGTTGTCACACTTTGACATTTCAGATAAAATTGAAAAAGCTGACATGAAACCCCTGTTAAGTATACTGAGGCATTCACCTTTCCGCTGGCCTGTGCTGGAATCCAATATTGGGCCTGAAGGACTGTGGTCAGAAAGGAGGTTTAGCTTGGTGCAAGCCTTGGCAGCTCTTCGTGGCCAACACAGTAACTCTGTCTTCATTCGTTTATATGTGGCTGCTGATGACAAAGTCTCTGATCGGTATATCCTGAAGGTACAATATAATATATCTAAGAGGTTACTTTGCATGGTGGTTTATGTTTTATTTGATTTTCAATTTTTTTAAACATGTTTATGTACCAAATGTTTACACTTTACTGTTATTGTCTGCCAACTTAGAGATGTACATAGGTGCCAATTTATGGGAATGTAGAAGGCACTAGGAACCTCTTCTTTCAAATAGCAAAAAAAAAAAAAAAAAAAAGGAAAATTTAAAAAATGTTCCTAGTAGACCAATATCCATGGTCTATATGGATGAGAATAAGAGGTGGCTATCTCGTCCTAGGTGTATTGTGGGTGCTGCTTATGACTCATCAGATGCATGAAGAATGTTTTTTTGTCTGTGAAGGTAAAGAATAGTGCATCAGTAGCAGATATTTTGAACTTGAGCTACTTTTCTTGAGATGGAAACACATTGCCTAGTGCCTATATTGCACATTACAACACAGTTGTATCCCAAGCACTTTTAAACCTGCAATACAGAATTTACCTTCAGGAACCCTGAAATGCTATTGCTTTTATACCAAAGCATTACCAGTTTTTTAACAGTGAATGGCATTACACAACAGTTTAGATTAGTGAGAAAAAGACCCAAGAAATGTTGCCTCCCTGTAGACTGACAAAACTCCAGAGAAAACTGTGTTTCTGTGAAATGTCACCACGGCAAGACTGAGTGTCTGCGCCAAATGCATTGCTGTTTAAGAACACAGATGAGTAACCAGACTAGACCAGCCCTCCTCTGCTACGAGAAAATAGTTTATGAAGGCAAGAGAGAAGGAACAAATAAGAAAGTTATGATGCCATTCGTCACAGCAAAACAGGATCTATGATCCTTACTTTGCTAGCATCTTGGCTGGCTGTGGGAATGTAGCCAACAATACATTGTATTTAGGGATCAAACAACAGTTAACTGTGGTGGTACTGGCCTGGATGTCAGTTCTGAGTTCTCCAAATTCTCTGTTCTTCAAAATGTCTTTTGACTGAGGCATTTAACTGGTATAGTATTGAAGGACGACTTTTCCCCATCCTCAGGACATTTTCCTGAAGAGTCAACAACAGAGTGCTGATCAGTTGCAGATGTCATTCTGCTAAGATGCTGTTCAGATCTTGTCAGGTTTGCTTTGGCTGGAGGCTTGTTTAAAAGAACTAAAAGAGTAGAACCAGAGATGTGTTTTATTAGGTATCTCCTGTCATAATATTTCAGTCCAGGTCACCTGTGATCAAAGGGTTGAGCATATGTATCCTTACTACTGCTCTCCTGGAAATAAATTATAACTAGCAGTACCTTTACTTGGTATGCTTAGTGGCACCTAAGAATTAAGCATCTAAATAACTGAGGCAGTACATGCTAGGAATAACATGTTATTCTGTGGGGTGTTCTGTTGTTAATGTGATTAAGACCTCGATCTGCAGAATGCATCAGCCAGTATTCTACTTTGTCTGTGTGTTAACAAATTCCCAGGGGTGTAGAAGTGCCACAGAGTATTTCAATCTGCTTGTGAAAATGGCTTTATTGCAAAATGCTTTTTGTTCAGCATTGCAAAATCATCAATGGATCATAAAAAGGTGGAAACTCCAAATAAACCTTTGTTCAGCATTATCTTTAATTTTTTCCTTGAGGGCTGAAGAAGTTAGTTAACTCTTTTTTATTTATTTTTCATACTTGTGCTCTCTTGGTTTTAATGTGTTGTCAAAATCCAAGTCTTAAGCCTGGGAAATTTGGCTGAGTATTTTAACAGTCACATAGTCAAGAAAGGCTAACAATGCCTTCCAGATACACAGCAGATAACATATTCCAGCACCTCATGGACATTTGAGACATGAGACATTTTGAGACATGCATGTCTCAAGCTGATTCTTGTGCCCCTGAAATTTGTATAGGATGAATGGTCATCAGCACCGACTGTTTGATCCTGTATACCCAGTTCTATTGCATTACCTACTCACTAGTGGGGCCATAAACACCTAAGTCACGTAGGCAATTCTTTTCTGTAGATGCTTTAGATATTACAGGGGGCATCTAAGGCTCCCCAGAACACAGTAATGTGATTTAGTTAATATCTGCCAGCACAGCATAACATTTTCCTGTTGTTTTGAGATCACAACAACAATTTCAGGCTGGTGCAATGCATTATGTATTAGATATTTGCACATATCTACCAGATATTGCCAGAAAAACATGAACTCTTGCAAAGTTGTTTATCCGCCTACCTTTGACTTCTGATGAATTAAAATGTTGCTTCTTGTTATTTTTAACAGCTTGACCAAGCAAGTCTCTCTCTGGCATCTAGAGAAGATTACTTAGAAAACACCACAGAAGCCAAATCTGTGAGTATTATCAGCTGGAAATCAGAGTGACTCTTTTTCCCATCAACTTTTTTTTATAGCTAGTTTTGTTTTGTTGAGCTCCGATCTGAGAAAGACTGGTGCTTTGTTTGGATTTGGTTTTTTCAGGGTATCTTGTCAGAAAACACCACCACTGTCACAAACACTCTTGCAAAATTTCCAAAATCAAGATTTTTTTTTCTAAGATTTGTGGTCCCCCTGCTATTCATCCCCCTTGGAAGGGGGGTCTCTGGTGTTCATCTTGTCCAATCTCTCTGCTGCAGCAGGGAATACCTCTATATTATACTACTAGTGACTAGCCTCCAACTAGACTTTGTGCTGTCCTGAGGTTATAGTGGAGGACAAGTCATTGACACTGATTTTTTTACAGTTTTGCTTCCCTTTTGAGTTCCCTGAGAGCTTAGTAAGTTTTTTAGTTACCTCTAACATATTAGATGATGCCTGGATACAAGGAATGGTAGCTACTAGAAGATTAAAGGTGGAAGTATGTTGGGATATGTTTTTGATGTTGGACTGCAGGAGCTGATGAGCAATCTGATCACTGGGAAATCTCTGAAAGCTTATGCGGGGGAAGAGGCAGCACAGAAATGACTAGTGTCATTACATATGGTGTATTTTGCTAACATTTGTGTACAGACACTGAGACTAAAATGTGCTTTGTTAAGATAGCCTGGGGAAAGCAGAGAAAAGCACTATAGCAGATGCATGTGTTGCAGTGTGTGGCAGGAACAGAGAAGTGATCTCAGTGGAGCATCTCTTTATCTCCCAGTATTCTCAGTCACTAAGCTTGCACTTGTATACAAGTACTTCTGTCCTATGCTGATTACTTTATGAGTTGCCCCAAAATACTGGTGTACCCTCATACACATTGCCTAATCCATTTCTAAGAGCTGAAAGTGTTGTCAGTCTAATGTAGAAGTGTCATTTGCATTGCCTGAGATTTATACTCCGTGAACCACAGCAGGTATCTCTGTCTGTGATGCACAGTATTTTTAGTGTTATTTCTCCTTTTTAACTTGCTGACAGCAGGCATTCAAGGTAAGGAAAGCACAACCTTGGTTGCTAAGGCATGAAAGTATTCTACTCCTTGCTATAGCTGAGAATTTCTGGTCAACTGCTACAGCTCTACTCAATAGCAAATCCAGGTCATATCACTCTCTTTGTTTCTTTACAGTACCGAGATGCCTTTTTGCAGTTCATGGTTGATACAGCAGTGCTTCTGGGTGCAAATGCTTCACGAGCAGAATCTGATATGAAATCAGTTCTAAGACTGGAAGTTAAAATAGCAGAGGTTGGTAATTTAATGCAATCCTTTTTCAAAACGGAGAGCTGTTATATCAACAGCGTTAGGAATAGTGATTTTTAGAAGTAGAAGGAAAGGAGCAGAGACTGCTGAAGAAAGGATGAATAATATTTCTCTCTTAGTTAATTTTTAAAGTGATTATTTTATTCTCAAGGGAAAAAAACCTGAGCCAAATACCCTTGGTCTTTTAAACTGTAATGTCAACCAGACTCAGTAGAGATAAGACTGGGGGTGGCATGGCAGTGTTTAAGGGACAGTGTGCCAGCAAGGTTCTTTGGTCTGCCATCTCAGTGGAAGTAGGGGATGGATATCCATGTGGCATGGATATGCAGTAAAAGCTGCAGGGGTTGTTGATGTGCTAGAAACTGTGGAAGCACCTGATAATAGTCCCTTAGGAACTAGGGCTTCTTCCCTCCAGAAGGTGATGAGACCAATATCCCGACTGAAGTATGTAGGTGAAGTTGTCATATAAGATGACATGGATAAGGTAACAACCCTCAGGATCAGTAATGAATATTGTTATGCATCAAGTCATGCTTGTTCATTGTTTCCTTTAGTATGAATAATCCTCCTAATATCTGCAGATATTAGGCATGAGTCTGGGGACATGAATTTTTGCATAATCCCTAATGAGCACAATGATTATATATATATATAAACACCTTTCTGTGATTTCAAGGGAGGTAGTCTTGTTTGTCACTAAAAGTCTTACTGTATCCTGTGTTTCTCTGCATTGGTTCTAAGTAAATGTATATAATGGAGAACTTGTATGCTCAGGAAGAGGCAGCAAGATTACTTTTGATATAGGAAGGAATGGCATGCTTTGAGTAAGTTTGTTGTGTACAAGGAAGATTTTTATTAGGTTTGAATCTCTGGAGAAGGAAGGAAAGTTTGAAGAGGAAGGGAGTAAATGGGTTCAAGAAGAGTTTAAAGATTTGTCACATAAATGAAATTTGCAGAAAGGGAGAAGAGAGTAATTCTTTTTTTCCCTGTGTGGCTTGAGCAATAGTAAAACCGCAGACACTTACAGGGGAGTTGTGGTTGGAGGACTGCCAGCTGTCTGGTTAGCCTGGCGTCAATCTCTGTCCTCTTCAAACTGCATAGCCTACAGCCTGTTGTATGGGATTTACCTTAGAGCAGGGCTGGAAATGCCATCAGGAATTTTTGTTTCTCTTGAACATGGAGAAAATTTTTAGCTATATCTAGTACTTGGTTTGTTTTTGTATTATGTACCATAGGGCCATCTTGGAGTCTGAATGTCCCTCTTGTCAGTTTAAAGGATTTGCTTTATAATTAGGATTTCTTTTGCTGTGTCCTTGGACTTGGGCACTACAGAAGAATTTGAGGTCTGGCTCCTCTGGTCACCTAGATGAGAGACCTGGTTGGGGAATGCTTTATATTCATGTCTGGTCTATATTCCCAGGTTTTCTGCTATGGAAATCAGAATGGTGGGGTGAAATGAGGAGAAACTTGTTGTGTGTCTGTCACTTCCCTCACGAGGAGTGAGGACACCACAAGAACATGCTCAAATCTGAGACTTGAGCTGCACTTGCAGTATAGTCATCTCTGATTTGACCTTTTAAACCATGTAGTTTGGAGCTGGCTTCTGCCTCATATGCTGGGATGAATAAGCATTAATGGTCTAGGTGTGCTTTTATCTCTTATGAATTAACATGTCTTTTCTTAGTATAATCAGAGCTGAAATTGATCTTATGTTCAAAGAAGACATGAAGCTCATTAAATTCTCCAGTAATGAGTTAAACTTAAAATGAACTGTGTCCCATTTCTTCTAGTTAAATGCCATCCTGAGAAACGGCAGTTAGCACCATAAATGCTTGGAAAACAGGTGGTGAAATATATCTGCACTGGGATTATGATGGGCAATAAGACATAAGAGCAGGTCCCTGCAAGATAATCCTTGTTTTGATGCTTTTTTTTTCCCCTCTTCCCCAGATCATGATTCCATATGAAAATCGAACAAGTGAGGTGATGTACAATAAAATGAACATATCAGAGCTTAGTGCCATGATTCCGCAGGTAGGTTGGGGATGATGGTAAAATTATTCTTTTAGTATGTGACCTATATAATTAAAATTGCCTTTAATGTGCAGAGCAGCATATTGAAGGAATACTAGGAATGTGTGTACTCAATTACAATATGTGCTCTTTTAAATACAGGTATGACTTTACTGAGGTTTGAAAACATTTAATGCTGAAGTGTAGTAGTTTCTAAATTTTTAATAAATAAAGCTTTGAAACCATTAGTCTGAAAGGTGCAACTGAGTTAATAAATCATCTCTCTTCATAATGTGCTTTAACCAGCATTCTCTTTGTCATTGCAGTTTGACTGGCTGGGATACATCAAGAAGGTTATTGACACCAAACTCTATCCTGAGCTCAAAGATATAGGCCCTTCAGAAAATGTGATTGTCCGTGTTCCCCAGTACTTCAAAGATTTATTCAGGATACTAGAAAATGAAAGGAAAAAGTAAGGATCCTATGATGAATTCACCCATACTTATAAGGGTCCATCAAATGCAGAGTTTTTCCTATATTTTTTCAGGAGTTTCAGGTATTCTTGGAATCAAGTCTCTAGGCAAATGTTCTGCTTAGTTTTGTCTGAATGAGCATATAGATATTACCTTGTGTGTGGCAAGAAAATTTGCAGTTTCAACATCGTTCTTGTTCTATGGAAAACACAGTAAAGCCACATTTTTCCAGATGCATTCAGCATCTTTTACTTGTATAGGGTCTTGTATCTTGTGAAATCACTTGTCCCTGTAGAACATGGTTGTAAAATGCAGGTAGCTCAGATTAAACATAGTGAGTATCCTTTGCAAGGGGAAGCAAGACAGCTTTGGGCAGTGATGAAAAAGCAACATGCCATTTAAAACATCATTATAGATGACATCTAAGGGATTTCTGTGATAATTTCTTTGGTGAGGTGTGTTGCTGAACTTTTAAAAACATCTTTTTAAACTGTTGTCTCCAAATATCTGTCTTTGCTGACTGTCCAATATGGCCACAATTAAATATACATTTCAGAAAAAACAAGACTAATTTAGAAGAATTAGTATTGTATTGTTTCTCTATGTCTCTACTGATGGAATGCTTACAATATGTCATAGTATGTGTAAAAATTCCACACAGATCAAACAACAAGAAGAAGAGAAATTACTGATCTGCCTACAGATCATCAAATATCCTTTCTTTATAAAATTCAGACAAATACTGTTAGTGTGCTACCAATCTTAATCTACTGAAGAAAGTCTTTTAAATTATTTGGGCTGTCCATGCCTTCTATCTCAAAGTTAGTTAGATCAGTGGGGCTGAAGCAGTGATTTAGAGGATGCACATCTAGCAAGACAACAGAAGATTAGTTATTCCCTGTGCACAAATACGCTTACATGAAAATAAATTCTGTAACTACAGAGTAAATACTTGGAGCCTTTTTCCATTAGGGTCTTATTCAGGGAAAATCTGAGTATTCAAGAGAAGTTAAGCCAGCCTGTGTGTCATGGCAGAAGGAGGCTGGAGAAATGAGCAGAAATAATTGTAATGTCTGTCTTTAGCAAGGTTCAGGACCAGCTTTCTGACCCCATAGACTGGGGGGAGAAGGGGTGGCAAAAGCAGTGTCTGATTTCCAGTATATTCACAGTGCATATCTCATAGTTGATAATGGCTTAGGCATTTTCTGCCCAGTCTTACCCTAAGAAATTTGCATCATAAAATGTTAGAAATGACAAATTGTACTAAACTCAACCCAAGCAGGCTTCAAATTCTTGTATGTAAAATGCATCCAAACAGTCCATGCATGATAAAAAAATCATATTTATCTATTAGGTGATAATGTTCATTGCTTTAAATGTCAGACTCTGCTCTAGAAGTAACCTTGCTATCTGGCCTGAGAAAATTAGGAAATCATCTTAATGTGAACTCCTAGCAAAGAGGTCTTAACATTTCCCTGTAGGATGAACACTGAAAGTTTAACAAGGATATTTTCATTTAGGTAATCTCATTTGTCATTCTCCATGTGATATTTTAAAGGTTAAGTAAATGTAAACAGTATGAATTTAGTTACTGTAAATATCTATAGCAATCAAATTCCTAGTAAAGCATTCCAAAATTTTAGATTTCCTTCGGTGTTTAGAACGAGCTCCTTTAGAATGCATCTCTATTTTAGGAGGTGCAGTGTGATTAGAAAAAGCAAGTCCTTTCACCAAGTTAATTTTCTTTTTAGTTACAAATTATACTTGGATTCCAATGCTCTGTGTGTCCTTTTCCTGGATGAGTACCCTGCTAGCATGGGTACTATTCAAAATGTTACCAAAAGATGGTTCATGCCCCAGTAACCTGGTAAAGTACTCCGTGAAGTTTGTTTCAGGTGGAAGAAAGAATGGAGTGTAAATTTACTCTGATACAGAAGCAGTTCTCCATGTTGGAGGTGACAAGTCATATGGACTCATATTAAAAATTTCTCCCTTGGAGAAGCTGCTGAGCAATTTTGAATTGTGAAATCATTCACATGGCAATATGACTAGAAAATATCATATCAGCGTGGTGTAGAGTGAATTTAGTAGACTTTTACTTGACTGCATGTAATCAAGTTATTGAGTGAAGCTCGAAATAGGTGCAGCAGTGTTTTTCAGAGGTCTGTCTGAAGTTTCCAAGCTAGGTCAATGCTGTGACTCCAGCCAAGGAGCATGGCTCTCTCCACAGCATGCTGCCCAAGAAGCTGAGCAACTGGCCTGCAGGAGTTTGCATCAGCTCTGGGATAGCTAGCCTAAGTCATATCAGGTGCTCAATGCTGAAGTCAGTCACACCTTCTTCATAAATAGTGTCTTCAGGGATTCATTCAATTTTTTTGGTATACCAAATAATTATCAATGGGGTTTATCTCCTATTACATAAAGGGAAGTTCTATGTATGTAGCGATGATATAAATGAGCAATGGCAGAGCTCCAATGCAGCTGTGCCATGTGAGGGAGGAGACAGAGCAGTACTAGCAGCACTTAGGAGCCCCTTATATCCCTTCCCTGTCACCTGTGTGCTTCTGCTTTTTGCAAGATATAAATAGGATACTGTAAATTTGGTCCTTTTTAGAGACTGCAGCTGTTGAAGGAAGCAGCTTTATCATTGTTATAGATTTCAGAGTGAATAACTAGCTTCATAGAATCATCAAATGGTTTGGAAGGGACCTGAAAGCTGATCTAGTTCTAATCCTCCTGCCATGGGCAGGGATGTTTTCCATTACATCAAAACACTGTCCAGCCTAGCCTTGGACAGTTTCAAGGATGGGACATCCAAGTGCTCTGGACAATTTGTTCAGTGCCTCACCACCCTCACAGTAAATGGTTTCCTCATAATATCTGATAAATCTATCCTTTTTCAGTTTTAAGCCATTCTCCCTCATCCTATCACTACATGACTTTGTAAAAAGTTCCTGTCCAGCTTTCTTGTAGGGCCTTTTTCCTTTGTCTTACCTTATCTATGTAGTATGGGACTATTAATTGAGAATTACTCTAATTCCTATAGCATATGAGCAATTTTATTTAGAGAGGGATGGAGTCACCAGATCTCTTTCTGGTCTTTGCCTGCTTCTGAAAAATTAAAAGTTACAATCATTTAGCTTGAACTTGCCTCTAGCTATAGAGGCAGAAGTTTTAAAGTACTTATAATTTGATTCGTGACTCAATTCTGAATACAGTTTTCAAACAGATCTAAAATTTGTGAAAGGGATCTTTTTCTTAAAATGTCAATTAATTTGTCCATTTATCTCATATTAAATCTGTCCTCTATAATTGCTGCCGTGTCTGTTGATTACATTATTGCAAACTCACAGAATTTTACATGAGCAACCTACTTTATTCCCAGACAGGATAGAGAGTACTTCAGTAAATATTCATAATCGCTGGTATAATTTTAACTGTCCCAGCAAACAAGCTCTCTACCATTTCCTTTGGGAGTGTGTGTCACAATAATGGTCATATTGGTTAAGAGTGAGCCTACACTTTCTGTAACAGGCATTTGGAAGTTAAAATAGGGGACTGTGTACTGTATTCTTCTTAAAGGTTACAACAACAAATGCTCTGGTCTCATGGAAAGAGCAGAGAGGACTTTTATATTTTGTTTGTGTGTTGGATTTTGTTCTATGTGTAGAGGTTAACTTATCTGAGCCTCTGAACTTATTTGTGAAACTGGGATGAAAACCATCACAAGACATGCACTGGAGGCATTTCATAAGCAAAAAGTGACTGTTTTTAAACCAACTGAAGATGAGCAATTGATTTGAAGTTTGTGTAATTAGCCCAAAAGATAAAATAATCAAAACAGGTAAACAAATTCAGATAATTGCTATTTTATTTTGTTTCAAGAAACAAACCAAAGAACACCACCACTCAAACATACAACAACAAAACCCCTCAACCTTTCCGTCTGTTGCCCACTCCTCCAGCAAATAAACACTTCTGCACTTTGAAGTGAAACCTTCCTGTTCTACACATTATATGCCCCAGTGGATTCTAGTCAGGAATTATTATGGTCTCATCAGACAGCATGATTTTAGGATGTGTCAGCCTTTTCTTCACCAAATTAAAACAAACCTCAATTAATTGTGAGATATTTCCTGCAACTGTCAGCTGCCTTCATTACTTATGCCTGACACAAATGTTTCTGAATTCTTGTTGGTAGATTTTTCTTTCAATAAGTCTTTCTGAGATTCATCCTTTACAAATTTCAGTCTTTTATTCATTACCAATTTGAGAGAGATTCCCCAACTCAAATGTCAGGACAAACATCACTGTATGAGAACAAGAAGCACACAGAAGAGATAATTGATTATTTTTTTTTTTGGTTGGAACTAAGTATCAAATTGTAATTTGTAATTGGTTTATGATAGTGATCTGTTTAGCTGAGGTTTTTTTATCTAGGACTTTTGATTAAAATTAAATCTTTAAACCTTTTAACCTGTAGGACTTACATAAATGCTGTTTTAGATACACAGAGTAGTTACTGAAGGAGCATGGATGCTCTTCAGCTCTGCTGAAATATCCAAGGCAGATAGTTGTGAGGTTTATAGAGTTCAAGTCATTTATAATAACAATGAGAGCTGAGTGTTTTTATGGTGCTTCACTTGCCATTGAGTGAGAAAATTCCATATTGTCAGAAATGTATTAAGGGAAAAATCTGTACTTCCTGGTATTTCATAGGTTGAAATGAATTTTTAAAGACCATAAGTGCTATCTCAAAATGGTCTGATCATCTAAGCAGAGCTAACTCTTTTGGCTTTTGTGACATGTACTGTCTTATAAATGTACATTATTCATGCTAAAAAGCTTTTTCAGATACATTTTACGATTATTGTGGGTATTTAGGTGCACTATATGATATATCTGTATACTCAAAGCGTGAATATGCCCAGTGTGAGAGATGCAACAATGCATCTCGAGCTGAAGGCTTTGTGTGGGTGGACTGGAGCTTGGTTAGAGGCAAAACTGAGGTTATGTCTCAAAGAAATGCTGCTGTCAAGACAACATGCCCACACAGTGTGTTTATAGCCTGTTATGATTCAGAGGAAAGCACCGTATGGGATGTGTCTGTGAATGAAGGTAACAGAGTGATGCTGTAGCAACAGTTGTATTGCCCCACACCGATGAAAATGGGAGATGGCAGAAGTGGGATTTTTAGAGATGGGGGAGTTGTTCAGACAGTCCATAACAGCATCTTTCATTGCAAAGAAGCAATTTTCCTACCTATGGAGAAGTCTGTGGCCTGCCCAAAGTGTTATATATATATCCCAGTTTAGAGCAAACAATGTTTGAACATTCATAGCTTTAAAGTAATGACTATTCTTGAAAAATATGTCATGAGAGAAGATGAGAATAATGTGTGTAGGCCATTACTGGACATGTTTCAAGACTGAGTGGAGTTTAATTGCATATTTCAGAATGCACATGTACCTCATACAGCCACGGCTGAACACAAAGAGAGATCATTCTAGACTAGATAAATCCTCCAGTCAGGTGCTTGAAGCTTTCAAAAAGGGACATGGATGTCAGGTCTCCTGGGAATTTTAAACAAACTCTTCCTGGATCTCTCAGCCTCAGTTCTTAGGAGATTTTTCTTACGAAGACTTCTCTTTTGGTATTTCAATTATCCATCTGACAAAGTAAGAGTGCTAATACTTTAATAACTCTGTGAGCAGTAGAAATTTTAGAAGCATATTCATAACTTCTAATGAAAGATACAAATATGAGAAAATGATAACGTATATGGGATGGACTGTTACCTATTCTGTTGCCATTTATGTGCCCTACTAATGAGGAGAGATAACATTCACTTTGATCTACAAAAGGAAAATCACTTATCTCTGGATAGAACTTTTATGCAACTACTATTATAACACAGTTCTTGCCACTTACAAGGAAAATTAAAGCTGCCTTTTGGAACAAGCATTACCTAAAAATGCCATACTAGGTGATAGACCTGCTGAAGATGGTTATCATGGTGCAATTACATATTAACTGGCTATAATGATACAGATTCTCTAGTGCAATTGGGATTTATCAATTTGGTCATCACTCATTAATCGTGAAATTTCCACCATTCAGGTGAAATGTTTGTAGAGATATTTCCGTGAGTGCTTTGTGTTACATCATGTGTGTTTAGATGTCTGATTAAAATATGTCTGATTTCACAGGACTCTTGCCAACTACCTGGTGTGGAGGATGGTTTATTCAAGGTTGTTTAACCTCAGTAGACGATTTCAGTATCGGTGGCTGGAATTTTCTCGAGTAAGTTAGCACTTTCATAGCATTTACAATACTACTAGTGTTGACACTATTCATTTCCCTAATGGCTGCTTATACCTTTGCAAAACACAAAATGATTTCCATGCTGGATCAATTTCTTGAATAAGCCTTTCAGCTTGGGGTTGCAGAAGGACCAGAAGACTGCCACAAGCTATGGGAACAGATCTAATTAATTATCTATTAAATAATATAGGCATTTATATAAAATGCACATATTTGATTAAGTTTACCCTGAATAAAAAGCCACCTTAAAGAGTGTGAGGGCTCTTTAAGTAAACCAGGATGAAACTGAAACTGACCAGTGCTTGGTCTTGTTTCCAAGCTGTGTTAGATGGTGAACTTTGCTATTAAGAAAATTAGTAGCTTTGTGACATGACAACAGGATGCTGGCAGTGATACGGTACAGGAGGTGTGGGTGTTCTGTCATCCCTGGTAAGGCATTCAGGTGGCTAATTGAACCAACTATAATGTCTTTGATTGAGTAGTACTAGCACAGTTCTGAGTTGATCACATACCCCAAAATAAACTCAATAGCTTGATGGAAACTACACAGGAAAGGCAGCCTCTTACACTTCTGAAATCATATCCAAGTCAGTCTTGTGAAAGATGCTATTTTCTTCATGTAAAATGTGAGAAACTGGCTGTCAGAACCACAGTGACAAGCTTGTAAGTGTGTCCTCTCCTGGGACATTTCTTGCTAGTTAGGTGAAGTAGATTGATGCTGGCCATCAGCCAGTCTGCAATATGATACTGAGTTACATTGAGTTATATAATGGCCAGAAAAATTGCTGAAAGGAAACTTTAAGCATTGGGTACTGCATATTTTGGTATGGTAACTAGCTGCTGTCACATCTCTGGGTGCTTTCTCCAGAAGCATAGGGAGAAATACAGTTCAAGTTGATTCAATGTTTATAAATAACCTCATCAAGGGTGTCACAGAATCACAGAACTGGTAAGGATGAGAAGGAGCACAGGGTCATCTGGTCCAACCTCTATGCTCAAGCAAGATCATCCTAGAGCACATTGCACAAGATTTGCTTCCAGATAGTTCTTGAATATCTTCAGTGAAGTAGACTCCACAAACTCTCTGGGAAGTTTGTTCCAGTGCGGTCATTCACACAGTAAAGAAGTTCTTTGCATGCAGCCAGAACTTCCTGTGCATGTTTCTGCCTGCTGCCTCTTGCCCTATTGCTCAGCACCACTGAGCAGTGCCTGGCTCCATCCTCTTGACACACTCCTTTCAGATACTTATAGACATTGATGATGACCCCTCTCAGTCATCTTTTCTCAAGGCTGAACAGGCTCAACACTCTCAGCCTTTCCTCATAAAAGAGATGCTCCAGTCCCTTAATCATCTTTGTAGCTCTCTGCTGGACCTGTTCGAGGAGCTTTATGTACTTGTACTAAGGAGCACAGAACTGGACACAGCACTCCAGATGCACCTCACAAAGACTGTGTAGAGGGGCATGATCACCTCCCTTGACCTACTGGCAATACTCTTTCTCATGTAGCCCAGGATACCATAGGCCTTCTTGGCTACAAGGGCACACTGCTGGCTCATGGACAACCTGTTGTGACCTTTTTGTGTCAGCTGTAAGATGTTCCCAGTTAACATCTGGCAATTTGAAGTCTCCCATAAGGACAAGGAACATTGACTTGGAGGCATAGCCCATCATCTTGGCTGGGGTGGTCTGTGGTAGACTCCCACGATCTGTGTTATTTGTTTGCCCCTTGATCCCTTACCCAGAGGCTCTCAACTGCACCATTGCCATCTGCAAGCTTCATATATTCCAACCCCTCAGCTACGTACAATGCCATCCACCCACCTCATCTTCCCTGCCTATCCCCCCTGAAGAGCCTGTAACCATCCGGTACAGCACTCCATTCACAGGACTCATCCCACCAGGTTTCACTTATGCCATTGAGGTCAGCCTCCATCCTGTACTGGTGCCTGAGATTCTTCTTTCCCAGGTTCAGGACCCAGCATCTGCCTTTACTGAATTTCGGACAGTTCTTCTCTCTCTGTGTCTCCAAATTGTCTAGGTCCCTCTGAAGGGCTGCACAGCACTCTGGGATATTGGCCACTCCTCCCAGCTTTGTGTCATCAGCAAACTTGCTGAGGGGGCATCTACTATCATCCAAGTCATTGATAAAAAAATTAAACAGTACTGGCCATGTACATGGTTGTGAAAGCTTAAGAACAGCACAGTAAGAGCAGTGAGTCAGCAACTCATTCCCATTATCTGCTCCTCGTTCTGGAGATGCAAAGTTAGTTAAGTGCAGTAAACAGCAATATCTAATAGTTATTATCTAAAGTGGAGTAAACAACTCAGTTGAACAGACTTCACAGGTCAGCAGAAAGGACATAAGAGCAAAGGCTTTCTTAAACATGAAGAGGACTCACCAAGTTCTTGCCAGGTAAGTGAATAAAACATTGAATGACTACTAAAAAGGCTTGGCCTTGAGATGAATCAGTGACCCTTAAGGGAAAGGATATATTTTATACATTCATTGTTTCATTAATTCTGTCAGCCTCACCTATCATAAGCACAGTATCTTTTTTTACCGGGTTCTCATTTTCTATTGGTGGATTTTACACCTTATATGTAGAAATCTTGGCATCAAGACCTTAAAATCTTTGCAAAGATTAATAAAAAGCATTTGAAAATGCAATTTACTGGTGTATTTAAGTGTGAGTCATTGATTATGCTTAATTACAGACAATATGATAGGGAAAATCAATCTTTGAACTACCAAAATATCTCACCTTCAGTAGCCTGGGGTTAAGCTTCTCTGGAATTTTCCAATGAAATGTTTTCCTATTGGAAAAAAACCAAATACAAACCCTTCAGTTTTGTTGGGTATTTAATCTTGTGCTCAAAGGAGGAGAATAATGGGAAAAAGAAGAGGCTTGGGAACTGTAAAATCAGTGCTTAAGAGGCTTGTATAATCTGTGAGAGGCCAAAGTCCCTATCTCACCAGATCTGCTCTGCTATTAACTGTACTCTGCTTTTGCATAGCTGACAGGTGTTAAATACTGGACTAGGATTTTGCTTGTTCTCTGTGGAAAATCATAGAATTTAGAGGTTGGAATGGACCTTACAGATTATCTAGTCCCAACCCTCTCTGCTATGGGCAGGGACACCTCCTCACTAGATCAGGTGAAAAGCTTAAGAAGTTTCTTAAGTGGAAAAGGAACACTTCGAACCTCGAAAAGAAAAAAAGTTTCTTAAATCAACACTCCTTATTCCTAACATGGACCCTACTTGTATTTTGTTGCATGTAGGGTCTTTTTTACATGAACTACCTTGACGAGCAAGTGTAATGTTAACTGGGTAAGCACCCACAGTAGCAGTTTTTCTGTGACAAACAGAAACTAAGACAGCAATTGTGCTTGAGTTCTATTTTGCCTTGTTCATTGGTGTGTTGGCTATTCTTGACTGTGTCTTTTTTGAAGGCCATTTATAGTGGTGCAGGGCCATCATCAGAGCCTGAAAGTGAAATACGCAAGCTGTTCTACCAGCATCTTCCTACCACAACATGGAACTGTGGTAAAAGTATCTGGATGGGTAAATGACAAAAAGTTGTGGACATGTACCTACCTATGTTAGACATCATTAGTTCATGGCAGTTGAGGGTTCTGCAGGAGGTTTTTTATGAGGGTTGACCTAATTTTCATGGGAATGATCTCCTTAGGCTTCTCACCTAGTCAGTGGAGAAAGAAACTTTTTCAGGAGATAGAGCAGGGGTTTTCTAGGTGACAGTATCTCTCTACTTAACACAAAGAGGATACCAAGATTAGTCTAAAGTCAGGACTTGGCAATGCTTTCCTATAATTAACCCTCTAAGCCTGGCCTAGTCATTACTATTGTACCATTCCTAAGTTGAAAATCTTACAGCTATTTTGTGGTGTTCAAAATACTTGTCACAGCAGTTGCTGAAAATAGAAATACCTGTAAAGTATCATTATTGTTTCCTTTTGGTAGCTGTTTGACAAATAGGCTTTAGATTATATGTGAGTGCAGACTTGTTCTTCTTAAACAGTACAATGTTATGGCCTGCTATATGCTCCTGCCAACAGGTGATCCATGGGACAACAACTTTGCTGCCTCAGTGGGATAAATGTGTGGACCTGGTTGAAAGTGCACTCCCCTATGTTGTGGGTAAGATGTTTGTGAAAGCCCATTTTCAAGAAGACAAGAAAGAGATGGTGAGTCTTCTGCAATCTCTGCCTAGAAACTTTCAATTAGTGACTTCCTCTAATGTTAGAACAAAGTTTAAGAAGAGATGAGATTCTTAAAACACTTTAATTGAATTCAAGAAAAAAAAAGGAGAAAATGGAACAAATTTGAAGAAATGTTACCTTTCTTTACATCTGGACACTGGCAATTCTTGCCATGTGCAGCCCTTCAGACAAATATGTAGTTAGATCAAAACCAGCCAGAACACTGTTAATTTGTGTAAATAAAGGCAGCCAGGCTGTGCAGGACCAGAGTGAGGGGTATTGATGAGAAATGGTTTAATATAGCTAGTGTAGATCATTATGGTAAAATTTTTATTGACTAGTCAAGATCACTCTGCTTCAGGGATATCATTTGAAAGCTGTGCCTATGCTACACATGCAATCTAAGCAAGAAACATCTAACTGATGTCTGGCCCAAATTAAAGGAAGCTTAGAGCCACATAGTGAGAGTTTATAGTTGTAATTCAAATTTTTTTTGCTGAATGGTGAATTAAAATATTCTTCAACACTGAGTCTAGAGGGATGTTCATCCTCTTTCTAAAATCTTCAAAAATAGCTAAATTATTACTTTTCTTAATTACATATTCAAATCATTGATTGCCCTTCACAGTAATCTATGATGTATTTTCAGTTCATGTTTTCGTTGTAAAGTTTTCAAATATCTTCTATTGCTGCCATTGATTTTCCACCAATAATCACTTTTAAAAGAACTAATTTAGTCGCTGAACTTTAGCTCTCAGTGCAGGAGATGCACAACTGTTAGGAAACATGTGAAATATCACCCTGTGCTGGGAGGAACAGCTCTGTGATAGTCCTGCACTGCCCAAGTTCGGTAGCCTGAGTTTGTCCACTTGACTTTATCTAGTTCGACTGCTTTCTCAGCTAAGTATTCCATTTTAGACAGCAAACACTCATTTGGCTTGTCCAAATCTTTTTAATATATTTCCCTCTCAGCTTCTGCATTTCTTTTGCTACTTGCCTTCAGCTGGAATTTCTTCCCTGTGATCCAGCTTTTCAATCCCATTCTTGTTCAAGTTTTTAATGTGCTATTTGGCACTTAGTGGCAAAAAATGTGTCAAGGATATACAGTATGATATCCTGCACAGGATAAGTGGGAAGAGTAGGAGTATAAGAAATGTATACTTTATAGAGGGGAGGGACACTTTTTCATGTTTGTATATGTGAGGGGAAAATTACCAGAAGCAGATAGAGAATAGTTTTCTCTTGAAATGTGACTGAATTAGAAAGTTTCTTAGCATGTACATTGCATTCATACCAAAGCTTTGAAAAATTATGAAGTCTGAATTCACAGAAGCATCCATAGTGAGAAATGCATATAAAATTCATAGTGTAGGTCACAACATTCAGCCTTAAAGTGAACTGCCCATGAAGATAAAATGACATTCCATTTAGAAGTGTGCTTTTAAAGTTAATAATTTGTGCTATCATTTTCATTTCACTGGTTTTCAGTTCCATTTCTATCTCTTAAGCAGTAAGAAAGCATATGAGTAAAGCACTCTTATTTGTACAGAAGTACAGGGTGGATTGTTTTGGTTGTTCTTTTGTGGGTTTTTTTCTGTCTCATGGTATATATCTGTTTATGATGAGTAAATCCTGAGTTACGTAGAATATGGATTCTTTTCCCCATGTTTTGTGATTGGTGCTTCATACCTTAGATAGTTCTTGCATTTTATCAAGAAAGACATTATTTGTGTCTAAATATAGCACTGTTTCTAACCCAGAGTGCCTGCAGTGTTTCTTACTGATATGCCTGAGCAGTTTCAGTAATAACTTTGATAGCAGGAATAGGTTTCTCCCCCTGCCCCCTGCAGCTACAGCTGCTGCATAAAGCCTAAGTATACACCAGGGCCCAGCTGCAGAGCTTGATTTTGAACTTGTAACCTCCAAGTACAGGGAGTTCACCTCATTAGTGCACTAAGTTAATTGAGTCAGTGCTCTGTCATCAATATCTTTAAGTTACCCTATTCCCTGGGATGCAGTTTACTGTGCATGTTGACTGTTTAGTCATATTTAATGCTAGACCTGCTCCAGTTGTCCTATATTGCCTCTAAAAATAAGAAAATGTTTTTTGAAAGGGTAGGAAAGAATGAATAATCAAAGGAACTTTGCTGTGTTTTGTCTGGCTGCACCACAAATAAAGAACAGTTCCAAATTAAAATATACATCTGATACATAAATGGCATTTTAGCTAAAGGTAATGTTACTTTCCAGGGTTTAGTCCCAACTTTTAATGACATTTCAGAGGTACTAAATTTATAGAATAAAATTATATAAATCTCTGCTACTTGACATTTTCATTATTTTAAAATGTAACATAATTGATAGCACAAAGCTCAGATAAGTCTTCATCTGTCATGTCTTGTGCTACATCAACTCAGGCAATGGCTGGATCCCCTTAATTGGCTCACTCTCACAGTATTCTCAGTGACTATCACCCATGAGGTTCATCTCTTGGTATAGAGGCAGCTGATTGTGTACACCTTTCTGGACTGTGCTGCCAGACAGATGCATAGGCACGAGGGCTCTTTAGACTCATATAATGCATCTCTTAGCAATTAGATTTCTAGTCTTCTGACATTTCAGAGTTTTCTTAGTGTGCATACTCACGAAACAGTCCTATTATGATTTCTTTTACTTGTTTGTGATATGTTTGTGGCTTTGTAGAGGTGTCTGAAGAAGCAGCCAAGCTAAAACGGTTGTGGTTTTCCCAGCTTTGCACAGATGCAAGCTGTCACTGGTGCTTCAAGACTACAGAAGCAATTAAGGCTGCTCAGTGTTGTGATCCAGGGCCTCTATCCCTGCAGTAAGTAGAGGGTAGAAATACTTCACAAATATAGCTAAATACAGGCTAAATATTTGGATACAGCTTTGTATTTGGATCATGATACTGTCAGCCCAAATTTAGTTCTTTGGCAGTATTAGTAAGGCATGTCTCAGTCTGACATAAACCAAACAAGGCTACAGATGTTCTCTCTGCAGAAAAGGCTTTATTTGTGCAAATGCTTTGCAGCTGGCTCCTGCACGGGCCAGTGATCTAGAACCAAAGGGTCAGAAAATCTCCCCAAATGACTGTAAATCTCCCAGTAATTTTTATGCTTTCAAGATGAATATTCTTACAAACATGACACAAAGGGATCAGCAATGTACACGTTGTGTGGTATACCTGAAGGGAAAGAACATGGAAAGAAACTTACTTTAAGTGTCTGAGGACTGGAGAAAGCAGAAATTGGCTTTCAAGAAAGAACAGCAGATGATGTCTGATTTGGAATAATTTGTGGTCTAACCAAATCTATCACTCCTGCATGCACCAAACCTTTTCTTATAATGATTCTGCCATGACATATTTTACTGGAGAGGGATTTACTAAATCTTTTGCAGATGGAGGAGTTGACTGAAGGAATTCGCTGGGCTTTTATTGACATGTTGGAAAAGGAAAATGACTGGATGGACTCTGAAACAAAGAGAAAAGCACATGAGAAGGTAACAAGTATAAATGTTGAATGAGTAAAATCCTGCTATGGTAAAAATTTGACTTGAGCAACAACAGAATATCATGGACTGTACTTGCACTTTCACTTACAATTTGGTTTGTGAAGAGACATGTGCCACATTTGTTTTACTAGAAGCTGAGCTGTCTGAGCTCCTGCTTCTCTGAGGAAGTTATTTTTGATACCTTGTTCTTCTTCACTTGCCATAATCTTTCCCATCTGGCTCTGGCTGATGTAGACTATGAGCTTATTTCAGATTTTCCTGTACAGTGGCTTTTCTTGACAAAGTCTTCATCTTGATTGGAATATCAGGGACACAGCAATCTACAAACAGAAAATGATGTCTAAAACATCTGGAGTATCTGAGGGTGGTTGCTGTGAAGATGGAGGATCCAGTCTTGAAGGGAGTATGAGAATAGTCCAGGTCTCATACTTGTTCAGCATCATGGTGGGAGGCCTACCTTGAAAGCCATCTTTCAAGAGTATAATGGCCATCCCAGCTGAACATCCATTTCCTGATAGAATAATGCCAGTTATGAAAAGCTACAATCAAGGATGGTATTACTGGTCCTTATTGTTTTGAGGTAATGTGACAATAAAATGTAGGACGTAAAGGTGAAGGCAGGAGGATGCGATCAAAGCTTCCTTTTCACTCTATTCCCACATTTACAGCACATGATGTGTGGAAAGGAAGGTTGCCCAAATGCAAAGTTCTGTCCCCAGAGCAGCATATGGAAGAGGCATAAAAAAAGATGAAATGATGAGTGGAGGGTATTGTGTAGGTCTGTGTCCTTATTTGTTGAGGCAGTAGGATATCAGTGAATTAGTAAGCACCCTCATAGAATAAACAGACATGCAGCTGAGCTGTTCCTGCTCACTGTGCTTGAATAAAAATAGCAGTGTTTTGATTTACAAGCAAACATGGCCTTCAAAGTTTTTTATTAATTCGAATGAAAAGACTGTTGAGACATTCTATCATTGGAAAGATTTAAATTCCATATGCAGCCCATTTACATTTTATACAGCAGTGTTGAGACATTCTATCATTGGAAAGATGTAAATTCCATATGCAGCCCATTTAACATTTTATACAGCACTGCTCTTCACAGATGTGCAAATGAAATAGAGCTGCATAAATGCACCAATAAACTCTATAGCAAGAGAACAATAGTAAGATGTCATTTATTTTTCTGCTAACCTGGTAGTAATTGGACTGCAGTTATTACTTCTTACTGGCTGTTATGCTTGTTTTTTTATTAGAAATACCCTTGGAAATATAGTGATCTGTAATTTAGACATTTGTTGAAACTGGTACAAAATAAGAGCAGGAAGATTTTCTAATTATTCCCTTAATAAATATATTTGTATATTACAATCTGCTTAACAATTTTGTTCTAAATTTGCTACCTGCCTTTCAGCAAGGAAACAATACAAACATTGCTACAAACCAATGAACTCCCTAAGAAAGCTCGCCCTTTCTTATTTTAAGGAGGGTTTTCATCAGAAGGTAATTTAGATCTTTTGTAGTTGGGTTACTTGCAGTGGAGAGGGAGGTGCTTATCTCTTCTTCCTGGGATCCAGTGATAGGATACATGGGAACAGTTCAAAGCTGCATCATCAAGGCAGGTTTAGACTGGACATTGGGAAGCATTTATTTACTGAGTGTGGTCAAACACTAGAATAGGCTTCCTGGGGAGGTGGTAAATGCCCCAAGGCTGTCAGTGTTTAAGAGGCATTTGGACTATGGCCTTAACAATGTGCTTTACCTTTTGGTCAGCCCTGAAGTGGTTCGGCCATTGGATTAGATGTTCCTTGTAGGTTCCTTCGAACTGAAATGTTCTGTCTTCTATTCTGTCAATTAAGTAAAGAAAAGAATTAATTAGTTAGGTAAATAATGTCTTTTTTTTATGTTTTCATCAGTAACTGTCATATTGTCCATTATAGCAATGCAGATTAGAGCTCCTGTCTTAAATTCTATGTGACACTGTGATTAGTGTATTTTGCTTTTCCTCTGTATTTTTAATCTCACTGCATTCTTGAAATGTCCAAATGTTCTGAACTGCAGAAATCTGGTTGGTGGTTTTGTTTACTGGAATCACTCCATGTGATCTATTTAATTTGTCTTTAGCCTTTTCTTTAACTCCAGTCATATTTGGGGCATTAACAAACATTTTACTCACATCCTGAAAGAAGAATAAGGTCATTGCGGGATATGGATGGATGTCTGATCTGTGATCATAGAGAGCCTTGTGGTGATTGTATCTTTAGATGACAATGCTGTAATGTAGATGACATGGCCTGCAGGTAGTGCTTCTTACTGGCTGTTATGCTTGGTTTTTTATTAGAAATACCCTTGGAAATATAGTGATCTGTAATTTAGACATTTGTTGAAACTGGTACAAAATAAGAGCAGGAAGATTTTCTAATTATTCCCTTAATAAATATATTTGTATATTACAATCTGCTTAACAATTTTGTTCTAAATTTGCTACCTGCCTTTCAGCAAGGAAACAATACAAACATTGCTACAAACCAATGAACTCCCTAAGAAAGCTCGCCCTTTCTTATTTTAAGGAGGGTTTTCATCAGAAGGTAATTTAGATCTTTTGTAGTTGGGTTACTTGCAGTGGAGAGGGAGGTGCTTATCTCTTCTTCCTGGGATCCAGTGATAGGATACATGGGAACAGTTCAAAGCTGCATCATCAAGGCAGGTTTAGACTGGACATTGGGAAGCATTTATTTACTGAGTGTGGTCAAACACTAGAATAGGCTTCCTGGGGAGGTGGTAAATGCCCCAAGGCTGTCAGTGTTTAAGAGGCATTTGGACTATGGCCTTAACAATGTGCTTTACCTTTTGGTCAGCCCTGAAGTGGTTCGGCCATTGGATTAGATGTTCCTTGTAGGTTCCTTCGAACTGAAATGTTCTGTCTTCTATTCTGTCAATTAAGTAAAGAAAAGAATTAATTAGTTAGGTAAATAATGTCTTTTTTTATGTTTTCATCAGTAACTGTCATATTGTCCATTATAGCAATGCAGATTAGAGCTCCTGTCTTAAATTCTATGTGACACTGTGATTAGTGTATTTTGCTTTTCCTCTGTATTTTTAATCTCACTGCATTCTTGAAATGTCCAAATGTTCTGAACTGCAGAAATCTGGTTGGTGGTTTTGTTTACTGGAATCACTCCATGTGATCTATTTAATTTGTCTTTAGCCTTTTCTTTAACTCCAGTCATATTTGGGGCATTAACAAACATTTTACTCACATCCTGAAAGAAGAATAAGGTCATTGCGGGATATGGATGGATGTCTGATCTGTGATCATAGAGAGCCTTGTGGTGATTGTATCTTTAGATGACAATGCTGTAATGTAGATGACATGGCAGTTTTGAAAGAGAATTAACTGCAAATCTTCTCTGCAATTTGGATACTCACTGTTTTGTGTATTGTCTGCTCCGTTTTCTGACTGATGCCCACTTTTCTTTTGTGCTTGGCTGAGGCCAAATTTGTATACCTTGCTGTCAGCCTGATGCTTTGCAATCAAAGGAATCATCGACTTCCAAATGACTTACAAAAGACCCTCTGGTAGAATCGATTCTTGAGTTTTGCTTTAGGCAGCTTGTCAGCTCCATCTAATCAGAGAGACATTTCTCTGTCCCCGACTCTCTTTGTGTCTGCCCTGTTGTTTTAAGTTACTCAGAGGGGACACTACTAATTTGATGAGTCAAACCATGTTAAAAGGATCAAATCTACTACTCTATGAGACATAGAGAACAATTGTCTTGCAGTCTTGATTTCTGACAATTATCCCTTTAGCCCCTGTATACTTTGGAGTTAAGGTTTGACACTCCTTTTGTAACAAAACAATATAATGCGATAACATCTAATAATTTACCTCTATCCCCTCTCCATTCCTTTCTTTCTGTGATCGAAACATGAATTTAAACCAGACCGTATGAAAGCAAATCTTGCAAAAGAAGTTTTGAACGGTGACTCTGACTTCACATGCAGGTCTCACCTAGCTCTCTGGATGGAGCTCACGCTGCTTCCAAAGGAGCTCCAAGTAGGAGAGAAGCGTTCGATGAATTTAAACCAGACCGTATGAAAGCCAATCTTGCAAAAGAAGTTTTTAACGATGACTCTGACTTCACATGCAGTTCTCACCTAGCTCTGTGCTGTGATGCGGTTTTCTGTCCTGTCCTTCCTCCTCTACTCTGATCAACCCTTGCTTTATTATACTGTATTTGATTATCATCTCATATTTGCTGAACCTCCAGAATTTTCAGTGAAGTTCTCTGGTAAAAGAAACAACCAACCAACCAAAAACAAACAAAAAAAATCCCTCAAAGCCAAAAGTTTCCTCTTCTTGCCCTCTTAGTGTCCCCCTTTTGTAAGGGTCATTAAATTTTGCCCTCATTTGAAGAACAGAGAAATTATTCAGTTGAGTGCAGCTCAAAGGGTGGGTCTGACAACAGTCTTCAAGTATGTGGTCTGTGTCTTACCAAAGCTGAGCAGAGATCCCTGCTCAGCTACCCCAGGCACCTGGTGAGCTGTTGGGTCACCTCGCAGCCTCCCAGAAAAATAGCAGATGAGGGGTGGGAGGAGAGAGAAGGGAGAGCCTTTTGTTTTCCTTACACTGAAGGTGGAGATTGCAGCCAGCTGTGGCAGCCAAATGGTATTGGCAGCTGTGTTTTGGCATGGTGGGCCACAGGGAAAAGAGAGAAACCACAACTGGAATTCCATCGGCATAACTTGTCTAGTGAAGGCTCACAGCTTTAAAGTGGTGATTTATTGCTGCTGCTCTTCAAAGGATAATTCAGTGGAAGATCACCACTGAGATGTAAAATTGCTCCCATTCCTGGGCAGGAACTATTATTTTATTAATCACTGTTTTTAATTCCTGAAATGCCCTTTGTGCTTGAGTTTAACTGGAGGCTTGAAAAAGAAACTTTTAGATGAAAGCCTGTTTGCTGAAAGTTTAAAATATTCTGTAA